TGTGTGTGTCAGAGGCTCGTTCCTGACCAAGAAACAGGATCAGGCCGCGAGGAAGATCATGCGCTTCCTCAGACGCTGCAGACACAGGTACACGTCTGGACTCGAGTTTGCATTCCTGCATTGATTGAACTCAAGCCAGTCGTTCCCAACCAGAGGCCTGAAGATAAACATGATTTAAAACCAGACAAAATAAGCATTAATAAGCTCAAACAACTAAAAATCAGGATGTTTCTTAACTTGGTTCACCTTCTCAACAAGTGTTTGTTTCTTTGAAGAACCAGGATTCACACAGTCCTGGAAAACCTGGCTTTACGAGGAAGCCTCGCTTTAAAAGTGTGATTTCTAGACCTGGAAAAACCCATGGAAATTAAACAAATCTTGAAACGACATGGGCATTTATATATGAATATACACTTTACTAGTTAAATAACTTGTATTATTTATATTACAAAAATATTTTTTTAAATCCTTATCTTTAATTTTTATCCAGTAAATTATGAATGACTGGAAAAGTCACAGAAATTAATAATTAAAAAAAAACACACGGGGCATTTATATGATGAATACACATTTTACTAGTTAATTATTTTTTCATTTTATATGATAAATTTGTGCATATTTTTTAAACAATCCCTATCTCTTATTTTTATCCATTAAAATGTCTTGGGCGTTTACATAAGGAGCATACATTTGACTAGTTAAATACAAATTATTTTTATTGTGTTATAAAATTGTTAAAATTATTATTTGAAAAAAAAAAGTGTTTTTATTCTGATCCAGTAAATCATGATAGTCTGGAAAAGTCATTAAAATGAATAAAATCTTAAAACATCATGGGCATTTTTAATTAATACAGATTTGACTAGCTATGCCAAACTCTAAAATATTATATTGGGTGCACTGAAAACAAATGGGTGTAGAAACATTTTTCACAAATTGCTAGTAAATTTCACCAATAATTGGAAAGAAATGAGAAGTAACACATTAACCTCCTGGGACACAAAAATACAATTTTCTAATATTTTCCAAAACATGTTTTACTCTAAAACTGTGACAGAGAACCAAAGCCATAAATCTAAACAAGTTGTGTTCCAAATTTGAGGT